CTTTGTTTATCTATATCAAACATGTGCAATATTTAGAATTATTAACAGAAACAAAAATCATAATAAAACTAAACGATAAAACCTTTGTGACAGTTTTTGCCGCATGTGGATTGAACCAGGAATTACAGAATTAGAGTCTGACTTTTGTCACGAGGAATATAGTTACCAGGAAAGATTGTTCAAGTGCTTGAACTATAGGCTCGAAACATTTTTAAAAACAATTGAAAACATATACTTTTTAATATAGAAATAAAATGTAATATAACTTCTGATATTTTAATAAAATAGACATATATTTTGTTTACATTTGACTCAAAACCATTTGTTTGTTTTTTACTCAACTGATGATAAAAAAATAAAATTTCCTCAATTAAGCATTAAATGTGTACCTCATCACGACAAGAAGTGCTAATGTTTAAAGCCAGTTGGGCAAATGAGATATTGACACATGTTGAGTGCCATTCACAAACAAATTAAAATTCCATTGAAAAGTCAGTGCTTTGTGTATTACCTCAATCACTTTACAATGTTGTGTTTGCAATCTACAGTGTAAAACTAAAGCTCCAAACTAAACTCGATGTCTTTAACCTCAGGTCAAACATTGCAGCTCAAATGAACTGTTTTTGTGTATTGAGGAACTTCCATATTGTACTTTACCTCCATAGGCAAATGTTGTTTTTGACGGTCTCAAACAAACAGGAGTTGTTAAAGTATAGACTTAACCACTGAAAATGTTTGTCCCAGTAGTATTTCTCCACTGCATTACCATTATAACAGTGAACATACCAGCACATACATACATTCTTTGTATTGTCATGCACAGCTTTGCATATGTCAGAGTGAGATCCAAACTTCCTCTAACCAAATAGTGTGGTGTTGTTCAAACAGGTAAACAAAGCAGCGTAATAATACACAGTGTTTTATCCGTATTTGCCATTTGGTGTTTAAAACCACCAGAAATGCATATAAAACATAGATTTTATATATATATTTATTTTCTATCACCAGCCCATGAGCCCTCTGCATTGTTTTATATACTTTAGCTTTTGTCAGACGAAAAATTCAACAAAGAGTTATGAAGCATCAAAATAAAGCTGCTCTGTTTTCCAGTCATTTAAAACATTCTGAGAAAAATTAGGAAACTTTTGAATTCTAAACACAAAAACAACAGTAAAAAAAAAAGGATTTTACACGTATGTCAATCATGCCCTGCCCTGCTCCGCTATGCAGTGCGATCGTCCAAATCCAACTGTGCTTGTCCCAGGACCAGTGTTACTCTATTATAAACCATCTGATGTTTCTCTGTGCAGAGATGGTGCCCACTTACACTGGGCATGCGAGGTGTTAAACAGCAAGTAAACAGTTCCATGTGATTTTTGTATTGTAAATTGTAGATTTAGGTTTTGTCCCCAAATCCAAACAGTCTTTGTTTGTGAGGACTTGAAGACAGAGATGTTGTCATGTGGATTTGCTGATGCTGAACACACAGCAGAATACACAAGCACAGATCACATTTTATCATTAACATCATGAAATCAATCTCAGACGAGGGAAGGTTTTGGCAGTGCAATAATTATATAATAAAGATTGAATATGTTTTTTGTTGTCGTCACGTGTTGCTAAACAGAAGAACCTCAAGGAACTTCAGGAACATGCCGGGGATACGTCAATCAAAGTTATTTAACATATCCCGGGCATGAAAAAAAGTATAATAATTTGTCCTTACTATAGGCTTGCATCTCAATGAATCTCAATCATAATTGTTTCTTCATTGTTTCCACGGAAATATTGTTCTTTTGGCTTCTATTATATGGAATTTCACATTTTTGCAGGTGATTTTCCACTTTTCATGTTGCGATACAACATGCAAAACACATGCTGATTCTGCTGTATTGTATAACTATGTCAAGAATGTGCACATCCGATTGGGATGTTGTGCTTGTGACAGAATGATTTGTAGGTTCGTTTGTGATCCTAGCAATCTATAGACCCAGACGGACTTCTCATATTTATGCATGTATGTTCTATATGCATAAATCAGTGGCATTAGCAGCTGAAACACTAACACTTCCCTTTCTAAGAATAGCCAGGGCCACTGCCTCTTGTCCTGTCCCATTCAGACTAGCGTTAAGCACACAGACTAGCATGCTAATGGATAATCCCTGAGGAGCAAGCCACCTTTGTCCCTCGACGTCTCTCTCTCTGGGCTCTGGGTGACAGCTACCGCAAGGACTTCATGTGAGGTTTCCAGATAGTGATCTTTCAGCCCTGCTTTTAGAGAAGCAGCAGGTTGCCTTGGTCTGATAGGCATTTGATGAGCTTAAGATTGACGTCTCTCCCTGCCACACTTTGTTTTTGGGCCCTTTCTCCATTCTTCAGCTGTGATGCACTGTTGGAGGTATGCTATGTCCTTCTGCTTTGTGTGCACAGAGCAAAAGTGTGTGTATTTGTTATGCAGCAGGTGGTCCGCATGGGTTGACAAAGCCCTCTTTTGAATCTTACTGACTACAGTAGGAATGGCATGAGGTTGCATCTGTTCCTGTTGGCCTTTTGAGCTCTTCCATTGCCCGCATTATGCATTTTCAATAAAAGACTCAAATAATTGGCTTACATTATTTCAAATTGTGTTGCCAGACACCAGTTAACCTAATCCATTTGGCAATTATGTGTCAAAATTACTTGAAATGGCCATTGGAACAATTTTGAATGGCAGTTTAGTTTTCTCCCCTGGAAACGGAAGTCACCAAAAGAGGTGCCCCTGTGGTGAAAACCATTTTGGGACATTCCATAGTGCAAGGTGGGCCTGGGGTGCAGAAGGCTAAGAGGACATTCCAAAATGCAAGGTGCAGTAAAGAGGCAGCAAACTAATCCTGTGGGAATAAGAATAATCTTTGCGATGGGATGGAATCAACAGAGGGGATAAGAGAGGAGTTGGCGAATGGATGGCCTTCCGGGTGCAGCTTGTGTGTGGTATGTCTATGTTCGCCACCAAAGGTTTGCAGTATGATGATTATTTTAAACAATTTGTCTAGCCCTGGTTCTATACTGTCCATGATGAAAGATGATGGCCCTATCCCAAATGTGCACCCTCATCCGTCTTGGCTTACCCCCAGAGAACTGAGCTCCACATTCGCCAGCAGCACCCAGAATATGTGCACCAAGCAAGCACACACCAGAGGAGTGGAGAGGAGGATCATGGGAGACAACCAAAGTTATACGTTGGAATAGATGTGCAATTAATTGTAAAGTCAATATAGATTGCCTTGTGACTTGTACTTGTGTTGAAGACTTTCTTACCCCAACATGCAAATTCATTTTTGGTCCATCATCACAACCACACATTGTGTTGTTTCTTGGTATCCAGCTTATAATGAGTAGCATTTGATATTCATAATTATTTTTGCCTAAGTACATCTTTATGTACAAAGTCTTCATTTTTGCCTAAAGCAATTTATACATGGCTTGGATAAAAAATATATATACAAGGGACAGTTTGTCAAATGTAAATTGTAACAGAAAATATCAAGGAAAATAATGTACAATGATAATGTCGTGTTTAGCAGATTTCATTTTGGTATAATTGGCTCGACCCCAATCTCGAACCATGTATGAGTGATTAACATGACTTTGAAATCACCATACGTAGTTATCATTATCCAACAAAAAAGGATCCCAGGAGTAATTATTAGGATGGGGGAGCAGCAGCTCTATTCTGAGCTCCTCAATCTCTAAAGAAGAACCCAACCCGCTTGAAGAGTAAATAAACCTTTATCTTTTGACTCAGCTCCCTCTTCGTCACAACAATTCGGTACAGCCTCACATGTGAAAAATTCAATCAGTAAAGACTCAAGACAAAGCTATGTATTAGAATGATGTGTATTGATTCATGTACTGTAAGTATATTGGTTACAACATGATTTGAGCCTGCAGACAAGTGGGACTGGACCCTAGTGGACCCCTTGAGTTCATAACAGGAATCCGCCTCTAGGTGTTGATGGGGAGGAGGCAGGTTGCTGCAAAAACATCCGCTTAAAGCAGATTGAGGTTGCTGTTTAAATGCAGCCAGAGAAGGTGATGTGCCAGGCTGAGATGATGCTTTAGTTAGTGATGGGTTGATGAAGCTTCATGAAATGTTGAACCTTTCCATCTATTGGTTCGAGAAAAGGTTCATTTCTTGATGCTTCATATGCTCACAAACCTCCTGTTGGTCAAAATCTGTATTGACATTTGAACTGTTTGTGATGCTCTTGCTGCATAGGAATTAATACAGGTAACAGAAATACAAATGTAATTTGATTGTGTATGACCCATTAATTCATCTGTTTGATTATGATCAATATCAGTAGTAATAACAAATATGTTTTAAATGACAAAAAAATTATAATGTACTGGTAACTGGTACAGTTGTCTGCACTAATACAAAAACAAACATATATAGACATACAGATACATATTTAATAATGACTGATTATAGCTTGTCAAGTCAAAATCAATGTAATAAATCCAATAGGACAAAAGACATATGTTGAAAGTATTAGTATTCAAAGGCTGTGACACAGATGGGGATATAAATAGGGATTGTGACCCTATCAGTTGTTTAAAACCAATAACTTTCGCAGGTATTTATAAATAAATAAATCAGTATTAATGTGTTATCGGCCAGATTCGAATTGTTGTCTCCCAGACACTAGCCTTGTGTCCTTAACATCCGAGCTATCCAATGGGTGACAACATCTGTTCAATCACAAAACAATGAATCACCAAGACAAACCCACAAAGTTTGAGTGGATCCACTGCAGTACTTCACGAATCGTTCCATTTTCTGTACTCCTGAGGCTTCAAACGTCATTAGTGATGTCACTCACCTGAAATAAATCAGGCTTCGGCCCGCGCTCCGCTGAAGACTTGCGCGATTTCTCGGCTCACGCCTTGAAGCGCCGACGCGGCACGACCCATCACTAGCTTTAGTATCCCAGTGCAGGTGTAGTGGGAGAGGATTCATGTATGGCAGGTGAGATGGTGAACACTATTCCAGATATTCCAGTCTGAGTTTACTCTTTATTTCCATTCCAACATGTGTTGAAAGGTTTGACTTTTTGTAATGCCAACACTACTTCTGCTATGGCAAAACAAGAACCAGACAGTCCTCTACAATGGGCTTCAGACCCCATACTCACATAGTACTCTGAAAGCACAAATAAACTCCTACAAGATCAGAGTTTTAAACTCAACCAATAAAAAATAAAAATAAAGTACAATCGAAGAGATGCTTCAGTTCAGCGGCCATAGCCCGAAGATAAACAGGTTGTACTATGGTGCTGATGATAGATGCTACAGTTGGATGGCTGAAGCTGCACAGATCTAAACTTGTGATCACAGGCAAAACACTCCACCCACCATGACTACCATGAGTCTAGTGTATAGCCGCGTTTCCACCACAGGAACTTTGGGGAAAATTTCCAGGGCCAGCCCCATCGGTGCGTGTCTCCACTGCAGGAACTTCCCCCTTAGGGCCATTTACAGGAACTTTTACGGGGCCCAACGGAGTCCCTCTTCCATGCTTGGTACTCCGTTGGGTCCTGGTGGGACTTGAGGCTAACCCAACGCTGATTGGCTAAAGCTAGCGCAGGCTCTGACGCCAGCAAAGCACCAAAACAACTGGCATTCAGCAGCATTTGCCTAGCAGCATTAGCCTAGCAGACACCACTGGAAACAGCAAACAACAGCACAGCATTGATTCAGACGGGGTTTGAGGCATTGCGGCGAAATGAAAAGATATATTAAGACATGTCAGCTTCACCTCGAATCACTGGAGATTCATCACACTCCAAAACAAGCCGTGAAAAGTTTTAAAAAACTGACGCAGGACTCTAAATAAACTCAAACACCAACCGGTGCGGTTACGGCCGTAAAATAAACAAATGGGTTTGGCGTAATGAGTTTGGCGTAATGAGTTTGGCGTAATGAGTTTCTCTTATGTAGCAATTGAAACTCATGACGTCACTGAGTGGTCCTACTCTGCAGTGGGCACACGGACACTGAGAGGACCCCGGGAGAGGAAGGTTCCTGTGGAAGTTCCATCCCGCTCCTTTTACCAGGAACTCCTGCGGTGCAAACATGGCTTATGTGTGTGATTGTAGTGGTCAGAGGGACCTATGGCTCAGTCTGGCAGCCGCTCATATGACCCTAAAGTTGTTCTACTGTAGAGCTACCCAAAGTAAAAGTGCTGTAACCGATTAAATTATCGTTATTATTTCCAAATTCACATGTTTTATGTGAGCTACAATATATATATTAAAAAAAATCATATTCAACTAAATTCAATAATAAAATCAAATACACATTATATCCAAAGATACACGTTTTCATTGTAAAAATAACGTAAGACTTTATTGTAATAAAGTATTACTACTTTATGTGTTATTATATAGTGTACTGGCTACTCCATTAAAACTTTTCCATAACATCAAACTCTCACAAAGGAAGTCAGACCAGAAAAGATATGTTGCACCTTAAATTTGCATTCATTTTTCTTGACTTCAAAGTATGTATTCTCAAAGTTGGCACGCCGCCTCGAACTCAACGCCCCACATCACACACACGTTTTCATAGCAGAACCTCTTGAACCCCAATTTCTATACACACTTTGTCATGATCTGCAGCTCCACGAGTGCACCCGCCCGCCGCCTCCAACACCCCTACGCCTTGCGCCCAGGAGCACGACTCGGGGGGACCCTCCATGGACACCTCCCATTGTGCATACGACCCCCTGCTCTTGTCGGCTTCTCCGTGCCCCTGGTTTCATCCATCATATCTGCCCCTCCTCCAGGCATCATCAGATCTCCACAATAGCATTCAAGAAAAAAAATAAAGGAATAAAAAAGAATACGGGCGCTGCCATGCAGAACAGTGCAGCGTCTTTTGTTCTGTGTTCTTTGGCTGGGCAAACACTCCCTCTGCACTGGGAGAGACTCAGGGGGTGGAGATGGGTGTGGTGCAATCTAAAGCGAGATATTGTGGACCCCTTGAAGGCCCCCTGGTCACCAGCAGAAACCATGTGTTGAGCTGTCATACGGGGCTGTCCTGGAACACCCCCTGTGCCCTGGGGTAGTCCTACTGGATTGTAGTTTCCAAACCACAGGAAGAAAGGCTTATAGATCAGGGTGACCATTATGATTTGACCACTGATGCGTTTTGGAGTGGAACAGAAATCATAAGCTGGAAGGAGATTTGTCTCAAAAGCTGTGTATTAGGAGCCTTTGAAGGTGGTCTATTATGAAAACCAATGCATCCCAATGTGTTATTTTTATCATCTTAAATGCAGGTTTTGAACAATTGTGTCATGTTTAGTAAAAGATCAAGTTTATTTTCCAAGACATTGACCAAAATATTATATTTTTTTGTTGTTGGTGGATACTCAAGTACTAAAGTAACCCTTTGTAGTGGGAGGGCCGAAACATTGGATTGTCTATGGAGTTATTAATAACTTGCCATATTTGACCAGTCAATACAATTTTCTTGAGACATGCCGGTGATGGACCCTCCACAAGCAAACCCAATGTCTCAACAGTTTTTCCAATTGTAACAGTAGATGATTGTACGTATAGAAACTGCTTTGCTGGTTTCACTCAAATAATTCAATATTTCTCATTCGACTCGCGTCTTGCTATGAAGTGACTATTTCTTATTTGAAAACAGGATCCAAAATGACTAAGTGAGAGGGCAACATCCTTTGAGGTTAAACAATAGCCAGTGGCCTGTAGTTTGTGTGGTGGTTCCGTGGCAGGACGTCCAGCCTTTTGTAGCCCATAGGGAGAGAGGGAAGTCCCTGCTTGGTCACGATCACACCCCCGGCTGATGGAGCACCCCTGAGCGGGCCGTCATGCCTCTTAACAGTGCTGCAGCTGCGTGGGCGCAAATGAAGCGGTGGACAAACACAGACACACAAGAAACTGTGTTCCAGAGAAGTGATGAAGGCAAACTAGAGACCAGAACAAAAGCAAGTGCAAATATAGATGCATGTATAGCGAAGCATGTGGAAAAGGTTGCAGTTATTAATAGTGATGTAGTCCCAGCTTGGAATTAGTTGGATTGTTCTTCGGCATTGTGGTATTTTGTCAAGCCCCGGTGAGCACAGTGCGACAGGAGCAGGCATTTGGGAGTATGAAGAGCTAACAAACAAGATAAGCACGTCACTGCGGTGTTAAATTGGCTTTTGATCCAGCATGGTTACAATCTGATGTTCATTTATAGATGAATATATTGTTTGCTGAAACAGGCTGCTTGTCTCTCTGTCCCATCAGAATTCTGGATAACTCAATAGACTTATTTGCATTTAATAAGAAATCATGTAGACCTAAAACCCAAAAACAATAGTACATTAGAATAATCACGAGGCCAATAGCCTTAGTATCTTGTTAGAAAACATCTGTTGCATACTTGTAAGGAGGTGTCTTTGTGTCAAGCTTTGGACTATAGAGCTGATTGGCGAGAGGGTGGTTCTCTTTTTTATTTTACTGTCTGAAAAAGCTGATCTGAAGATGTGACAGAGGCCAAAGGATATGCATGTTAAAACTTGTGATAGTTACTTAGTAAAGGATTTTAGTACATAGTTCCTTCTTTATGGTTTGAAAGTTAAGACCCCAGCATTTAGACATCTTTCAGGAGAAGTAGTATTGGAAATGCATAGATATACAAGAGATCTGGCCTCTTGATGTGATACGTATGCCTTTAGACTTAGACTTAGACAGACTTTATTGATCCACAAGGGAAATTGCATTGTCACAGTAGCTTGCATAGTATTTCACGATAATAAATAAAAAACAACATTAAAGTAACAATTAAAAAAATAGAATAATAATAAGGAAATATTTGTGTCCATGATAGAGAGCAGTTTTTCCAGTGATCTTCTGTCTCTCACTGTTGTAAATGTCTCCAGCTGACAGTCAATAACCTGTGGATCAGCTTGTCAATCCGGGAGAGGTCCCTTTTGGTGGTGCTGCTTCCCCAGCAGACCACAGCCTAGAAAAGGGCACTGGAGACCACCGACTTGTAGAAGATCTCCAGCAGTTTACTGCACACATGGAAAGATCTGTGCTTTCTCAGGAAATAGAGTTCTCCTCCCAGTCCAGTCTGCTGTTCACGGGGACTCCCAGGTACTTGTAGCAGTCTACCATTGCCACCTCTTTGCCCTGGATGGTGATGGGCTTCACTGGCGTCCTCTTGCTCCTGAGGTCAACAACCTATATGTATAATGCATATACAGTACTGACTTGGTTCTGTCTGAAAAAAAAACTGAAGGAGAATAAACTTCCAGGTTGCTCTGGTACGTATAGATCCCGTCTGTGAGGTCGATTTTCTACAGTAGGTATAGTGAATGATATCCATTCAAATATGGATGAACATCATACTAAACCCCATCATTTATCATGGCTGCTTTTTTCAAATTTAATCGACTAACTATACAATTCATGTTTGAATACAGCAACATCAATCTGTTGACAGCAAGTGCACACTTGCTAACAGTAGACAACAATCATTATAAACAATATAATAATCTTCGCAGAATATACATTTGAGTCTCCATTTGTTAAATGCAACTTGAAAGTAAAAGTATTTGAAAAAAGTTCAGGAAGAAAAAGAAAAGTTTGAAGCCCACGCATACAAACAGACACCTCAATAGCCATAAAGGGAAGCTTGACTGACCACGTTCCAGCCCCATTCAAAGTCCAGACAATGGTTCGCTGAGACGACAAAAAAAAGCATTTCAATGTGTTGTGAGCATGCGTGTGTGAGTGTGCGTGTTTGTGTGTGCGCGTGTGTGTGTTGATGGGTATCTCTTTTGCAAGGAGGGTACAGAGTAAGAAGTCCCACTCTCTTCCACAGCCACTACTCAACACCAGATTGTGAAATTCCCAGGTGAACCTCAGCATACGGCGCACAATGTCTTCAGCTTTCTGAATGCTCCATTGGGGGGAGTCCCATTAGAAAGCACTGAGCGGTGGGCGGGGGTACATTCCCTCACACACTCGCCAGGATAGGGCACCAAGCCATGCCCCAAAGGCCCCAGGGTGGAGACCTCTGCTGAAGGCCAAGGGAACGCAGCATAAGGATGGGATGTAGCCTTGTCTTGGCCTAGCGTTGGTTGTTATAAGGGTGGATAATGGGTAGTGGGGGGTGCGTGTAACAGCTTGTCGAGTTCCCTTACTTGGGCGATTCATGAAAACTGTTGAATGGAGTAACAGTTGACAGCGTTCCAAGCGGGACATTGAGGTCTGTGACATGAAAGGTTTTGCGAGTGGATAGTTATAACATTGGGGCATTGAGGAGGGGTAAATGATTGCTCTTTAGGGGATAAGACTGTATTCACTTGGTGTATTTCAATCTGATTTCTCTTCACATAGACACGTGGCAAGAAAAATGTGCATTCATATAGTAGTTTATGTGCGTAAGCGTGTGTGTGCATACAACTCTGATATATGAAAACAAATCAACATTTAAATCAGTACTGAGAAACAATTCAGCTGATGTCCAGTTGAAAATAGCAGCATTGTGAGTTTATATCGACATATTAGGTTGTAAATGCTAATGTCGTGTTGGAGAAAGGCTTTCAGTTATATCTCACAGCTCTAATGACAAAACATGTTTGTTCATGTCTTTTATTCTGCATGAAACAGAACGACACATAATGTGCGACACATAATATTGCAAAGTCCCACCACAATGATGAAGAAATATATGCCAAAGGAACCAACACCTGATTATTGAATGCATTGAGAACATACTGTACTTGCAAACCTCCTGTTTTGGACACCTATTCTTAAGTTATTACTATGTGATGCGATAATAACAGAATTTGCAAAACACATAAAAATAACATATTTATCTCTATGTGTACTACGACTATATAAATAACAGTTCTACTATTCAGATTCAGATTCAGACTACTTTATTTATCCCACCAGGGGCAATTTGTTTGAGCAGCACATAAAAAAATAAATAAAAACAAAATAAATAACATGAAAACACAGGAAATAAGAGATATGACATGAAGTGGAGCCACGTACAAAAATATGAACAAAATCTCAAACATCAAAGTCCAAATCATCACCAATCTGCAGAGAGTTCAGCAGTCTAAAAGCGGTTGGGACAAAAGTTTGAAGAGTTGAATATTTTAGACTACTACATTTCAATTTTTCAGAGGTATGAGAACATTTACATTGTTGTTTTTTGTATTCTTGTTCCTCGTGGCAAGCAGCCAGTTCCTCAGGCCTCAACAACTTCAGACTTGGACCGCTGACCAGCAGCGTGCCTTTAAGGGCCCGCCGTTGCTATGGCGAGTGCAGCAGTCCATAATTCAGCCACATATGTGTGAGAGAGGGTCCTGATGGTAACAAATGAAAGTCCTGTCAGCACAAGAGGCGAGGCCATCTGTGATACTCCAACGTGGGCTCGGAAGCACATGCGACACACACACAGAAGTGAAAGTATCTCCCCGGGGAAAACAAAACACAGGCATTCACCAATAGAGATAGACCAGAGAACTCTTTTCAAGTCTCTGAGGGAAAGCTTTGGAGACATCTAGTGGTAAAGATGTAGACTGCACTTTGAAATAACATCTCAGTCTTTCAACAAACACTGTAGGATAGCAGGTCAATAAAAGTAAATATTTAGCTATAAAGACATAGAAAGATCATTTGTGTTTTGATGTCTAAGATAATGTACATCATCCAAGAGTAACGATAAGGACATTGTTTGTGCACAGGCAGAATAGCATGCAAACAAGTATCTTCAGAGAATTTATCTTTCAAATAACATGTTTTATTGTATACATTCTCTGTGTAGATGTTAGT